TAAGCTTGCCTTGGAGAAGAATTTGGCCATTGAGATCCTTCACAAAACAATGAGAAGAGTGAAATTCAAAATAGATGTTATTATCGTTGGCAAATTGACTCACACTAATAAGATTTTTAGTGATAGTAGGGACATGAAGCAAATTATGTAAATGAAAAATATGAGTGGAAGAGGAAGAATTTGACGGTTTAAGAAAGGAAGATCCAACATTAAGAACATCCAAACCTGCACCATTGCCGACCAAAACTTTGTTATCTCCAAGATACTTAGATCCAATTGTTAAATTGCTAAAATCATTCGTAACATGGTTCGACGCACCAAAATTTGGGAACCACTGACTTTCCTTGTTCAATTCATGTTGTAGAGTAAAGACATTGAATGGAGGTTGAGAAGAACTATGCCCTGTTATTTGAGAAAATTGATTGGTATTCTAATGAGGTGAGTGGACATTCGAACCTTGAAAATTTCGCTCAAATCTGAAGTAGCAACGTGCAACAGTGTGGCCAAAGCATCCACAAATTTGACATTGGGCCCTACCATTGTTGTTCCATAATCGTCGATTATTGAACTTCTGTCCCGAATTTTTCCCTCTTCGATTTGGATCATTGTTCACTGTAGATGACTGTTTGACTCGATTGTGAATGGTAAGGTTTACTGAAGGCAGAGAACCATCGGGATTGATGGTAGAGTGACGTTCAATTCTATTTTCTTGAGCCAGCAAAAGTGAATAAACTCTCTATATGGAGGGAGAGATATCTTTATCGGTAATTACAGAGACTACAGAATCATACTCAGAACCTAAGCCTTGCAAAATATGTAATACATGATCCTCATGCGAAATTTTGCGTCCAGCCGCAGCCAAGGCATCAACCAGATTTTTAATCTTTTGAAAATACTCTTCAAGTTTCAGACCTCCTTTCTTCGTTGTTTAGTCGCGCCATATTTTGTGAAGAAAACCAAGCATTCAAAACTTGCCATACCTCCCTAGCAGTCTTGCAGGCTAACATTTCTGATAGGAGAGAATTGGACATAGAACCCAAGAGCCACGCCGTAATCAAACTATCTTGACAAATCCAGTGAGAGTACTCAGTATTTAGAATCGGAGTTGCCATTGTATCACCCGAAGAAGGGAGGAGTTGTGATGGAACAGTTGCATCCAGATTGACATAATCCTCCAAGCCATAGCCT